AGGTGGCGAAACAATCTAGTAACTTCCTCATTCTAGTCTATTCACCACATACCAGGCCGTCAGGCAGATGTTTTATGTTGTGGGTGGCCAATTTTGCCATTCATAATAATCAAGTGACGTTAACACTTTGTACTTTATAGTACGAACTTAACTGCCGGCTTATTTTTTTAATGGGTGTTAGGGTTGTGACGGTGGCAATTCATAAGTGGCCCATAATTGGAGGTCTTTATCGCCTCTTTTCACGAAATTTGACAACGCTCTCTCAACTGCTTACGTTACATATTTTATGTAATATAAGAACGGTTTCAGTTGATCATGACACATTTGTGGGTCGTGATGCCTTATGGATCTGTAGATGGTTTCTGAATTTTCTGAGGAATCTTACTTCCACCATTTCCGACCTGAAGATGGAAGCAGTATGTTCCTCCGAAACGTTGGTATCAACCTACAGCGCCGCATGGCGTTAGTACAAAGAATATCGACATCTTCGCCGTGAGAATGTCAAATCTCGTGCCTTTGATGGTGTAGTTTTGCTTTATTTCGGGATTAATCTGTTGCCACTTCACGTCTGAGGTTTTGAACCGATTCTAACCGCTCGACTACCGCGGTACGAGGTCATTGAGAAGCTGACTGCCTGTCTGTACCCTGGCGTACTCCCGCAGTTTGCCATACTCCTCCTGTGACCTGAGTGGCGGTGTGCGATTTGACTAGCCGAGCTTTCTGCTGTGTAGACAAATTTCTGAACGTTTCATTGCCCTGAGGAATGTGTCAGAACCGCAGTTCCCGAGACAAAGGAGGAGAGGGCGCTTTCGTAAGTGGGTTGACCCAAGTGTTCGTTCTTCCTGCATTCATTTCTTTCGGTGAACATAAATCGCCCATCCTTCTGCCTTAGGCTCTCATTTCTCATCATTTCCAAGGTCCATTGGCCTATCTCCACCTCCCTCCTTTTTCTTAGATTCCCCACCCCGATGAGTTCTTCTTCCCAGCTGAAACTCACTGTCCTCTGTAGAATTCGCTGCAATGGCATTTTTTTTACATGTTCTAAACATTTCGATAGATATTTCATAAATGGGGCTGTCTTCCCGGATGTGTAGTCTGATGACACATTGATCGACGTTTCGCACTGGTGATGGAGGCGGCAAGCACCTCTGATACATCGGTCATATTCTACCAGAACGACCCACAAGTCCGGAAGTCACATTCCGAACCGGATTCGAATCCGCTGTTCCGATGTCATGTAAGCCCGGAATACGCGGCCCCGGGATCGCCCAACTTGATACAGCGTCGTTGAATAAAATAACGGAACAGCCAGACGATGGATGTTGTCGGTACATGTCGGTGGTGTACTCGCTCGCCAGTCCACAACGTACGATGTCTGGTTCGCCCTCGGATGTAGGCCAGTTTCCACTCTGCATTCATGAGTCACTTTACTTAAAGCCATGATCTTCGTTTCGTACTCAAACACCACCATAATCACTTGCTTTGTCCGCCATGTTGGTTACAAGGTTGCTTAGACATGCTGCAAGGTCGTACCGAAAAATGTATCTGACAGTCCACCTCTCACTTTGATTTTCATTGGTGTATTTCCGGGTTAGACCCGACCTAACATCATTCTTTCGTCAATAAATTGTTCGGTTCCATGAGGGCCATTGCAGAGCCAAGAATTCACTCCCGTGTTTTAACACGTGAAAAAATGACTGCTAGCAGCTTTTTCGTTTACTTTCATAAATTAAGAACTCGTGTTAGGCGATACTGGAGTTTATACATTAAATTATGTACTTCAGCGAAGATTGCCTAACCTTCTCGTGCTACGAACGAGTTATCTCGTTTGTTTGATTCTCATGCCTCTAACATTTGACAGGGTGAATGGAAGGAAAATATATTTTTTCGAACTGTTTCTGACGGACTGGTCGCTATGGAAATTTATAAACAAATGACATTTCATGATAAAAACGGATAAACTCGTTTGTGTTACCTACTTGGACACTTTTTAGAATTCATAAGAAGTCTCTGCCCCCCCCTTCCACATCTCCCCAAAAACAATGGAAAAATAAAAGCTTTTTCAAGTCGTGATTCTGCACTGGTCGCGTGTAAGTAACTTCGAAGGCTCCAGTTCCTCTGACTTTCGTCAGCGTCTGAAATAAGCGAATTAGTTGGTCAGGCGACACAGACGGACGGACGGACACTGATCATCGAACTTGACGTCAGAGAAGCTTTGACCTGTCCCAGAAGTTCGAAGAATGTACAGGACAGTCAGCTGACGTTCGGCGTACAAAACACATTCTGTCTGTGGAGTGTAAGTGGAAAGCCCGATTCACAATGAGCCGACGGTTGTAGCAAATAAGACTCTCTCAGTTACCAGGCACTAACACTAGTAACCGATTATCCGTCGTTATAGAGACGAGTTGTTTCCTTTGCGGTACGGACCGAGTAATTAAATGTTATTCAATTTTTCTCCCTCCCCGTTGATTCGCTTAAGTGTGTGGTGAGTGGAGTGAGAGTACAGTGGTTGGAGTGGCCGGTAGTTGGGAGTGGAGCCCCCCCGGCACAGCCTGGAGAGAGGTAGGGACGATGCTTGCGCTTGCGCAGGCCTCCGCCCTCAGTTAGCTTTTTGGTTGTGTCCAGTGGGACTCGTGCCGAACGAGGGCTACCAGAGGTCGCCCAAGG